CCATGTTTCTTGGAGGACTACCAGGCGCCCAATAGGCCTTTTTCCCAGTTCCTCCGGTTCTCTGTATCAAAACGAGGTTAAATGTTCAGCCTTTGATATGGAAACGATGTTTCATTCTCATGCAAATAAAACTAATTTTCATAAGAAAGGTTGTGCACTTACCCTGGCTCCAGAGGTCCGTTCTTAAAGTATCTAACTGAATATGAAATAAACCGTGCTTACGGGTTTGATAAGGCTCCCGAGACGGACCTCTGGTCATACAAGCAAATTAAGTTAAATCTCGTACTCGTAGTCGTTCTCGTCCGAAAATCTAAAGGTCTCTAATTTGATCAACAAGAAAAACGACCTTACGGCGAAAATCTGTCGAAAGAAAAATAGCTTTGAGGACACCTCGCGATTACGCGCACTCCGACAGTACGGACAGCAGTCCCCAGTTACAGGACTTACGGATATGTCAGGTCCCGACAGCTCAATCAAATATTCTTGTACTCTGTCAGTCTTACACTTGTTTTAACACACACCGAGCGGAATTCTTCAAAACTCAGTTTCGTGAATGAAAAAAACTCTCACCCGTTTTTTATTGTCTTATTTTTCTCTTCGTTTGAATTTAGAACTCCTCTGTGACGTGTCAATATGCCCTTGTAACAAGAAATGAAACAAATGTGTATCACGGATTTTTCATTAAATAGAACTTTTGGTCAGTCTTCAGGTGTTTCCGCGATACAGTTTTTCGGAGACCATACCGATATTTTTATGAAATTTTCACCTCTGACTGACTTTGTTTGTCAAGATGTAGTTTTAAGTAAAATCTATACCACTGTGACAACAATAAACAAAAAACTTTGAAATCGATAGAAGCCGAATTTCGTGCGATCTAGTCCCGCTATCGAAAATCCGACACCAGGAACTTGAAGTGTGGTGTTTAGCAAATATCCCCCGTGAGAAGTAAAAAATTCTGTGTATTTGAATTCAAATAAAGCGTAATTATTTTCAAACCTTATATTTCAATAGCCCTGATAAGTTGTTTAATAAAAAAATATTGAATGACTCAAATTAATTTTAAGTTGCGTCAGAATGCTGCTTAAACAACGGCAAAGAAAAGTACAAAAAAGGGTGACGCACCTGCAACCCGCCGGGTCAACCAAGAGAAAACGCATCATTTCCATTTAGCTAGTTTTGTAGTTTTTATCTATTTGAGTTTAAATTTTTCAGGATGACAGAACTCTGTATTCCCAACAATCGCATGTTTTTTTATTCTCGATTTCGACGGTTTTTGGCGGGAAAATGACGTCATAAGATTGACAGCAAAAGATAATTTTCCACTTATGCGAACTTGAGAGAACATTCAAAGACGAGCTCAAATGTGAAATATTATTCAAAAAGCTCAAATGGTTGGGAAATTATTGGGCTTTAATTTCTGAATTTCCCGCCTTTTTGTTACTATTTTTAGAAACATTGGTGATTTTTAAAATGCCATACCTTTTAAAATCAAATGAGCTTTTCAAATAATTTTTTTCACATTTGAGCTCATTTCTGTATGCTCTTGTAAAATTGCTTATTTTTTACGTCACAAGTTGAAAATCATTTTTTGCTGTGAATCTTAGGAAGTCATTTTTCCGCCAAAACCGTTAAAATCGAAAATCGAAAAACATACGATTGCTGGAAATAAAGAGTACCGTTATCCTGCAAAGTTTTAGCTCAAACGGATAAAAATTACAAAACTAGTTAGGAAATGATGCTTTTTCGCTTGCAGCTGACCCGGCGTGCAAAGTTGTTGTTTTGCTAATCTAACCCTATTGTTTTTTTGCCGTTCTCGCTGCCGTCGGCGTCGTCTTTTGATGAAGCTCCCTAATATTCACAGTGAAATGTACTCTTCATATAGGTCCGCATTAATTTGGAAAAATTAGCATAACAAACAGTGAATGTTGTAACGCAGATTTTTGGCCGGTTCGTACGTTGGCTAGGTTTCTCTTTAATCATAAGGTTTTGCAGTGAATCAATCCTATTGAAAGTTTCGGACATTTTTATATACATCATGAAGATTTTTGATCAGGTCTAAAAAAATTCTGTTGAGCCTTTCCAGAGATAAACAGAAAAGCGCTAAAAGTCAAAATTTCGGAATAAAGTTGCACTTAGACAAGTGGTGAGAAAACATACTTGCCTAGTTTTAAGGATCGAAAATACACCAAAATTTCCAAGCAGGGAAATATGATATCAAGGCTACGTGCAAACGGGCACAACATCTCCCAACAATGTTGGGAGTTGTAAGCCAACAATGTTGCGTCCGTTTGCACGCAGCCTAAGCAGCATTCTGACGATCGGAGGATAAATCACTTTTAAGGCGATTGAAAAATATCGGTATGACCTCGAAAAAAATGTATCGAAACACCTTAAGATCTCAGAATTTAGTCTTGTAAAAATCTCAAAAATCCTGTTTTCGTTGAAGCTGACCCTAGTTCGCTGGCCCTAAAATTATTTCAACGTTTTATTGCTGATACTACCTTTACGTGACAAACGCACTTCAGTGCAATTTTACTGCCATCCGCAGTTAATCGTTGCGATCACCGCCGGCAACAAAGAATAAGCTGTATCCTGGTTTGTTGCGTGCCAATACAGGAAAACATTGATTTGTCAACTGCACTCTTAACAAAAGCTAAGTACGAAATAAACCTTAGAAATTGTCATAAAATACTCGCAATCGGAAAGGGAAAGTGGCTAGTAGCCCTCATGCACCTATGTAAATTTTGCTGTTAGCATTTAATTTAATTTTTTCGTCAAGTTGAAATATATTCACAGTAAGTGCTGTCAATGTTTTTACGGAAATGATCAGTTAAATCTTTCAAAATTATCGCCAGTCAAAAAGATTAATCTAAAGGGATACCAAGCACCTTTTCTCTTGTAAAATTCATTTGTAAGCGATAAGGCATATACAACGAGGTACCAGGAAACCATAATGAATACGAAATTAACTAAAGACCCGCTCGTGAAGACAGTTCATACGAAAGCCGAATCCATGAAAAATTGCCTTTGATAGACATTTTATCAAACCTAAAAAGTTAGAAAGTGAACGAGGTCCCTGTCCAACAGAGAATGGGTTAAAAAACAGCTTCTTGCTTCGCGCTATTTAACTCATTCTAAATAAAGCTTTTCAGCAAGCCTATCAGCTTCATAAAAAAAAAGAAATTACCAAGTGTTAAGTTTCAGTACTCACATTTAAACCAGCTTTTAAAAATTATGAAGACTTGTTGTGTCGAGTTGCAGTATACTATGACGTTCAAATTATAGTTACCTGGCCAAAATATTAGCTGCTGACAGCCTGTTCTTCGAATAAGAAATTGACTTGGGATTTGCGTGTCACAAACAGATATGGAAGAGGCAGATACTGAATCATGACAGGTGGAAAATGAAACTGTCAAATCAAAATAGAGCGTTCATTGTCTACGAACGGCTACCTAGACACAACACCGTTGATTTATGCACGCACCTGCATCGATCACTTCGACGAAATCCAATATGCTTGCCAAAAAAGGAGACCTTTAATCAAGATCAATGGAACAACTGCGCGATTTTTTGCCGTTTATCTGTTTATTTTGTTAGGATCATGTTAGCAATTCTGCTGTCTTTAATTCGAAATTTAATAGGTAGTGCCAGGTTGTCGCATTTGATAATAACTCAGTCCTCCTTCTTCCGTGTCAGCTTGAAAAAATATGTACATATAATTAATGTTATCAATATATTCACGGTAATAGCAACAGGGGTCTTTTTTGCATGAGCATGCGCGACCGCTGAACAAGCGATGTGCATGGAGGCTCACCACAGGGTCTACCTTCGTCAAAATGGCGCGTCTAAAAGCTCTCATGATCGCGATTATTTTGCTCGTTGGTCTTGCCGAATGTGCTCTTAATTTAACAAAATGTGTAGTTTGCAAGAAACTCTAACATTGTCTCAAAAGCGAAGTAGACCGGCTTTAACATACCACGAGCTTCTATCAAATTTTATCTACCGACTTGACCTGTTGGACAACAGCGCGCGTATATGTAGTGCTTGTAGGATTGCACTGACCTCATCAAAGTCTAAACAAAGTGCCGAAACGTTTCTTGATGTAAGTAAACACTTTCAATTTTCTTTGTTTTGAAATGGGAAAGGAACACAAATATTAAATAAATCTTTAGAAGGCTCTTGTCCTGTATCATCTAGTAATCCGGTAAATCACAGTTGCGACACGTAGATATATATTTTTTAGCAACTAAGATAATTTGCAGTCTGTCTACTTTGAATTGCCAGATGTCAGCATCAATCCTATCAGGCAATTTACGAAATGCAAACTGAGTGATAGTGCAAAAAGTTTGGTTTGATTATATTTATGATTCTCGTGACATATTCTTGCAATAAATTAAGTTCTCTTCATGTACAACACAGTTGCTCGAGCTCTTAGTTCACCGCCACTGGTCTAGATTCTAGACCGCAGAGATATGGTTGAAAAACGGCCATTAGTTTTTTTACGGTTTTTTAATCTTGTTAATTATAACATTCTTTTGACCAAACTATGAAAGTTTTTGATATGATACAAGGTTTACTAACATCAACGTCAGCAGAGAATTGTTTCACTGGCTTACAGTTTTCGTGAGGAAGGTGTCCTACAGGGTGACAATCGCAAAACATTATGGGCTGGTTGGTTAGCTAGGACCCGCGCTTTTATTCCTTAGTTTATATTCTATTTTAAACCGTGCAAAAAGGTTCGGGTGCATCTATGATGTCGCGGCTTTCTCTGCGATGGTCCCTCTGTCTCTTAAGTTAATAAAGCAAGGAGAGTTTTCTGGGTTTTTTTCCTCTTAAGTGCTTCCTCGTGTAATGCTATGGCGAGTAAGAAAATCTTTGCTAAAATCTCTCAGTACCCCCATGCGCTTTCCAAAGGCTGAACAAGTGATGTCCATTTATTCAAATAGTTTTATTGAGGTTTCAGAACCTGTCATCCAATACATGTAATAAACACGCCTAACTCTTCGTACAATAAGTTGTTTTGTACAGGCTGTACAAGGCACGTGAGTGACGTAAACGGTGGCCATCAAAGGGTCTTCAGAGCAGTACTGTAGGGCGTTTGCCTCAGCATGAAGAGCGAGATCTCCAGTCAGCTGCTTTTCTTTGGAGCGTTCTGCTTTGAGTCTTTCAAGTTGCTGTTCAGTTAAACCTGGCAGGAACCCATTCCAGCCAACTGCTAGCACTGCTGGAGCTCCACGGTCTTTTGAGCGACGAATTACACAGCCAACGCTGGGCTTTCCCTCAGCATGCTTCGTTACTTCAGCACGACTGGCTGCCATCAGGGCCATTTTCATCCACATAACGTCACTAGTGTCGTTACTTATGTCAACATAGCCATTCCTTTTATCTTTAGCCATTTCTGCCATTTCCTCTGTTATAATGACTAATGACCGGATAAAGAATAAACAATATAAGCGTTTTCACTGATTCATGAAAACTCTTTTTTGAACTTACACATTTGATAAATGAGGTATGATATGTAGCGCCTTGGATATTACGTTTAGCTTGTCTTAAGATCTCAGGATTTTCCAAAACGACTTTTCTAAAGAGCAAAAATCACCAAAATCCTATTAAGAAGTTGGAACTTTTTTCCGCTCCGCTCTTTTTTCTGTTGATATTAGCTTTACCGCCGTTACCACACGGACAATTTTTCTGCCACTATTACTGGTTGCAATCACCGCTGGCATTAGAGAATAACCCGTACCCGAATGAAACAATGGGCTTTCCCTCAGCATACTTCGGTACTGCAGCACCCCTGGCTGCCATCAAGGCCATTTTCATCCACATAACGTCACTATTGTCGTTACTTATATTAACATAGCCGTTACTGTCATTGCTGGAGCTCCACGGTCACTTGAGTGACGAATTACACAGCCAACGCTGGGCTTTCCCTCAGCATGCTTCGTTACTTCAGCACGACTGGCTGCCATCAGGGCCATTTTCATCCACATAACGTCACTAGTGTCGTTACTTATTTCAACATAGCCATTCCTTTTATCTTTAGCCATTTCTGCCATTTCCTCAGTTATAATGACTAATGACTGGATAAAGAATAAACAAATTAAGATAGAATCGATCAGAAAATTGAGTTATTTTAATTTTCAGGGGACAAAAACCTTGTACCAGAATAATTTAAACAAGATCGCAATCTTTTTTACATTTTTCAAGGTCTATAGATATAATTAGTTGTATGCAATAACACCAAAGAGAATTTCTTATGGGAGCTCGAGAAAATAAATGCCAGTTTTTACAAGAATTGTGAAAACACAGGTAAAATTCTAAAAATGTCATTAAGATGTCATTTTGTTAAATGTGACATTTATTTTCTCGGGCTCCCATAAGAAATTTTCTTTGGTGTTATTGCAGACAACTAATTACATCTACAGCCCTTGAAAAATGTAAAAAAACTGAATGTGATATTGTTTAAATTATTCTCGTACAAGGTTTTTGTCCACTGAAAATTAAAATTACTCAGTTTCTTAATGAATTCCTTCTTAAGCTTTTTCACTTCTTTATGAAAACTCTTTTTGAACTTACGTATTTTATAACTGAGGTAATTTAAATGGCGTAGCTAAGCCTATTGGTTGCCCGGAAACCAACAATGCAATGACGTCAAGGCGGACACCGCAACCAAACTAGATAGATTTATAGCAAAGAGACGATCATGCTTGCCTTACGATCCTCGTGGGAGTCACGAGCGGTGCACGCACTTCGCGCGTGAAGAGATTATAAACTTCGCTTCGCTAGGAATAATCTCTCATTTTATGATAGGTGACATGATAGGTGGGGTGACCCGCCACCTGTTACCACACCTATCTCGGGTCCCCCATCACCAAATAAACAGGCTCTAAATGTGGCAATATTGGAAACGCTTAGACCAATAGGATGAAAGGAACCCAGTTAATTGAACAAATTTATGGATGTTGTGTTTTTTCGTCTTCGTCAAAGTATACATATGTTGAATATCATTAATATTATTTATAGACTTGACTTAAAAAAGCCTGCTTTCTACTTGGGTCCTAGTTGGGGCTCTATTTTTTATTTTATCTTTCACCTATTTTAACGATAATTTCTAATCGTTTATCATATCAAATGACTAATTTAAGTTTGTTTCTGGCTGGAACAGTTGATCAATTCTTCTTTTCCAAAGTAAAATCCTATAAATCAAGATTTCGATTGCTTTTTGCATGCTGTTGCATTATAACAATTAATTGAGTAACCATCTGTGCGTACTAAGTCCTAGTTTTTGGAACGGACTTTGTCAAATTAGTTTTCCTTTTATCTCACTTTAAACTTGTGGCTTTAGCAGATAAGGGAATCCTTTCATTTCCAGTGTTCACGTAATCCAGAGAAGGGTCATAACGAAATTTCGAAGAGATGAGGACAACTTCAGTTTTATGTTCGTTCACTAAGATCATTGTGATTCATCCAACGACAAATATTACCAACACAGCTTTCAATGCGGTTTTTGATCGAGGATGCATCATTTATTTCAAAAGCAAGGTAAACTTGACTATCATCAGCATACAGATGACTGATATGATGGGTAATTGATATTATATCTCTTAATAATATCACGGAGAGGAGATGTATGTATGAGGTATAATACAGGCCCCAAAACAGACCCTTGAGGCACGCCAACTGACAGAACACGCTTCTTGAGAAACTGGGTACGATTACAAAGATAAGACTCAAAGCACTTAAATACTGTATCACATAAGCCGTATCGTTGTTGAAACCTGCATTTAAGTCTGTAGGGTACACTGGACTTGATATTGTGTTTGTCTTGTAATCCGGTAAAACACAGCTGCCAGATCCCAGCTTTAATCCTCCCAGGCAAAATATTCGGAAACCCTTAGAAACAATAAAAGACTAAACAGAGCCTCAGGAAAGTTTTTAAAGCTAACAATGAGCACGTCTTTCATATTTATCAGGTTTTAAGACGTTCAGATACCACTTGTGATTGAAACTTGATGAAACTCCTATTTCCGTTTTGAAGCAGTGTAAGAGTGTTTGGTTTGTAATAGTGTTTTCGAAATACACGTATTGATGAAGGGAGAACAGTTGAGAAATGTAAACTGAAGGATATTGCAACGGGTTTGGTTTGATTATATATGATTCCCACCGTAGATTCTTTCAAGGAAGCCGATCATGTACAACAGTTGCTCAAACTCTTAGTTCACTGCCGAGAGTCCACTGCAACTGCTCTCTAGTCTAGGTTCTGGACAACAGAGGTCGAGTTCACGAACAGCCATCGATTTTTTAAGGTTTTTATTCTTGTTTATTGTAACATCCTTTTGCCCAAGTAAGTGTGTTGTTTATGGCTTATTTTTGAAATGGTGCAAGCGTCAGCAGGGAAATGTTCTAATTGGGGAGGCCTCTCACTGGCTGACGATTTGTACCACATGGTTTGTTTTTTGAGCCCCTTATTGTCAAGCGGTTTCCAGGCATCGCCAGAAATTTTGAGAAATTTAAGCCTGCAGATTACACTAGAAAACAAAATGGTGTCAGCCTTAGTTAAAGAATTGTTCATTAAAGAAGTTCACCTCTTTTAACACTGCGGATGACAGCAGTGTACAACAGGAGGCGAGGCGGCGTGGTTGAGTGGTTAGGGTACCGTGACTGCATGAATTTGTTCTTGGCAAACCCTAGTTGAAATCCTCAGCCATGCTTGTAAATAGCCAGCTGGTTTGCCTCCTACCGGTTAGGATTTTTAACCATCTTATGTTTCATTTAAATTATTTGTTTCATTATCCCTGAAAAACCCCATAAGGGGAGAGGATAATTAAAGTATTATTGTTATTATTATTATATATAGGTCGCTCTATATGAAGATGAGTAAAACGATCTGAAAATAAAGTTGATCATGATCTTTCTTCCAAATAGGTTCAGTTAATCATTCTGTTGCAGTATTAAGACAAAAATCTAGCTAGTCGGGGTTCAGTCAAATGGTATACACTTGTTTACGGAATTACAAAAATTCTATTAATATTGCGTGAATTTAAGCTTGTCACGCACAACTGTTGTCATTCACAGAGTGCACTGAAGACGCATACTTCATGAATTAGATTACGGTATTAACCAAGGTACTAATCGAAATCTTTGTAAAGGAGTTATGGACTGCAATGGCTGGCTGGAGGGAAGATGTTGTATTCCGATTAAAACATACTGGGAGAAGGTTAGTTCTAGAGGTACATTTAATAAAAGCTTTAAGTTTTCCGGCATTCCATGTCGCCTTGCATTATAAATGAATCGGGAAACATATATCGAAAGCATTCTAGAAGTGTTATTGAGAGCAAAAACCGACTGGAGGGACGATAAACGCCTTGCCTCTCGTCTTCCAACATGTGGCGAGAGACGAGAGGAAGAAAAAAGAATACAGGCCATAGTATATGATGTTATAAGCTTTATTTCCGCACAACCCTAGAAATTAATACGCACACATTTTCTGACTCCACCGAGTAGTGCATCAGAGGTAATATATTGAAGGAGCGGCCGAAATTCCACAAATAGTACTTACAGTAAACAACTTTAATATCACCTCATATTCTTTATCACAACAAAACAAGTTGGAACGGCATAAATGTGTTGATCACAACAAGGGTATATTTTATAAATGACTCCCGGGGGTAGTCCTGTAAATTCCTGGTGGGGGTGTGCCGCCCGGTTCTACAAATCCTTACCCCATTTCAGACCAAAATATGTCATTTTCCACACCCGTGTTCAGACCAGGCCTCTAAAATCCATACCCTTTTTCAGACCTGCCCTCTAAGAAATTGTGTTATCATTGCTTAGATTAGAAGGCCAACAAAGGGATTTCTTAAAAGCCATTTTGAATTCGCATATTACTCTTTCTATTTTATTCATTTGGAACTGAGATGAAAAATACGTTCATACACTCCCGTAGTTCCCTCGAAAACTAAAACCCGATTTAGACAAAAATGGGCAAAATCTATACCCGTTTTCAGACCGAAACGACGCAAAAACCATACCCTTTGGGGCGGCAGATACCTATATAGCTTATATAAGCCCCCCCCCCCCCCACCCCCCCCCCCCCCCCCCCCCCCCCCTCACCCCCCCCCCCCACCACACCCACCCCCCCCATCCACACATTGAACAATATATCTCACATGATAAAAAAAAAAACAATAAAGATAAAAAAAAAAAAAAAAAACAACAAACAACAGTGTGTACATAAAATAACAACAAAAAAACTAACAANTTGCCTTGAGATCCCAAAAACTCCCCTATTTTCAAGATTTTCTACGTCCTTTCTTTAACGTAAGACCTCAGGTAAGGATCAGTTTGCTGTCTCATTTTGTGAAGTAATTTGGCTTCTGCCGGCAAATTAAGTCGGTAATGCATT